ACATAAACAAAGTGCCTCGTTTCATGAAAGTGACCAAACCACTTTTAATATTTTCCCCATAAGATTAGCTTTAGTCTTTTTTGCATGTTTTCTACGAAATTCTGTACAACCTCTTTGGGAATTCTATTACATTTCGTTAGTCTATTCCAATCCATAGTCGTCTTTTCTGCCCAAGTATTCTTTTCAAGATTGACCAAAGATTTTCAATTGCATCGCCCTTTGCTTAAATTCTATTCAATCCATTTCTTAACAATTTTAGCCGTGTGTTGCATAAAACCGGGAAGACTCCGTATTAGACTTTCCATTATCTAATACGAGGACCAAAGTTCCAAAATATAAAGCAATATAGTGTACTTTGGCTCTTGAGTCGAGAAAAATCTTCATCATTGAAAATCAGGGTATAATGGTTTTGTGGAAATGTATATGACAGACTCCATATACATATACTTATATATATACTTATATATATACTCTTGATCAGGGCGACGGATGTCGAGTTCGAAAATGGGAAATCAGGGTATAATGGATCATCATTTTAATCATTAATTGCTCCGTTATAAATGTAGATTCAAATATACTTTATAGAATTTCGATCTTTGTCAAAATTTACCCTCCATTCCTATATTCCCCTCACCCACATATTTGTAAAAGGCGTATTTCAAATACTAGAGACTCAAATCTCATGAAGTTTCATGAAGGTAGTCCATCCATAAAAAAAGTTATTAAACAATTAAGATCCCATAGTTAGCTACTACTGCAGTGTGTGTGTGCATGTGCGAATAATTATTAAAATATCAGTTGCTCAAAGGGTTCTGGGGATCTTGTTGTCGRGCAGTCTCGACTAGAGCTTTCTTACTTGTTTAATTATCGATTAAGCCCTTATCAAAAATCTGTTTTCAAATTTATCTCCTACATCTTCAAAGCCATAGTAGTCAACCTTTAAATGTAGATTCATATTTATTTTATATAACTTCGATTTTTGTTATCATTATCACCCTTAAATTTGTGAAATGCGTATTTCAAGTACTAGAGACTTATCATCATACACTGGTCGGCATATATATTTTGACATCATTTACATTGCACTATTAGTATATTTTTCTAAGTACCGTTGCATTTAACGAAGCGAAAATGAATTTTAAAGTAACGTGCACACTAATAACTGTAAATTTGCGAAATATTTTGTCTATTATGTTTTTTCCGTTCTTTCTGCTGATAACAAATGCCAGAAGCCAACGATTTTAGCAGCGGCATAATTATTTCGATAAGAATGTAATACTAAGAAAAAAAAGTTTAAAGTAAAAAAAAAAAGTAAAAGAATGAAGACAAAATTAACCAAAGGCATATCCCCTTTAGCCTTCAATAAAATTTTGGTCAGTTCGAGGATCTAAATCCACTAAATTTTGCAAAAAATCAGGACATATTCGTTATCAAGGGAAAGTGTACTCAGAAATTGCTACTTCTTTTATTTTCTTTAAGTAAATTATTATTTTGCGTTTCAATAGACTCTAAAAGTAATCTTTGGTATCTTATTATGAATTTATAGGGAGCCAGATCAAAGGAGGAATACTAATATCTTTAATAAAGCTAAATATCACCCGAGCTATCATGACAAATACTGAAAAATTATTTTTCGATATGACGATAGTCGCAAAGACAGACATTATCATTTAGGATACTCAAATATTGGCCCTATTTCATTGGAATGAAGTTATCTAGCCCATTGAATGCAACAAGTGTTTAGAGCATGACAGAGCTTCTACCATGGTTATTTTCTCTTCAAGCATTTTGCTTTTTGGCAAACAAATTTCTTTTTGAGATGAGTTATGCTCCAAGAAGCTGTTTTTTGTCTATAAAACACTTCTTTCTCCAAAACTTCATTGCCTTGTGCACTTATTCCTTGCTAAAGGCCAGTCTTTTAAGCTTGCATTGGACTTGATGACAGACATGTCCCTGCAACTATTTGTCCCAAACTTTACTTTATTTCAACGCCAACACAATACGTCCATAGATTATTGTATTATCATATTGTATGTTTGGCAACTGGAGTTGTGATTTGCAGTGCGTTTTATAGTCGTGCTAGGGCTAAAAGATGCGGCCATTGAAGGTGTGGCTCAAATATCCTTGGATTTTTACAACTTTTTTTACATTTTTAATTTTATATCAACACTTAATACCAATTAAAGTTAAATACAAAAATTGCTTGGTTGTTAACTGCTCATAAGTGAATAGACAATTTAAAAAAGCGTTCGACAAAATACTTATGCCACTCAAAAACTCGATGCTTGCATGCATTTTATCAGCAGAAAGAGAACGGAAAATGTAAACAGCATAAAATTTGGCATGCAGAGAGTTATTAATACACTCTTTGCTTTGCTCACAATTGTCGCTCATTTATGTAACACTACTAAGCAATGCCAGCTTTAATAGTCAAAACACGATTTTGTCAAAATATTTATGTCGACTAGTGTATTATCTGAAAGATTCATGAAGATAGTTCACCTTCAAAATAAGGTTACTAAACAATTAAAATTCCATAGTAATGCAGCCCATTCCTGTCTATGTGTATGATGTTTCTAATGTAAGCTGAAAAGAAGCGAAGAATTATTGAAATATCATCTCATAGTCGAGCAGCCTAAACTAGGTTTTTTTTTTTTTTTAATTAGTCTATACTGTGGTAAGTTTTTCACTTCAGTTATTTATGTTACATTTATACTACGAAATAAAATTCTTTTTACTTATTATTTCAGATGTGTTCACTGGGTACAGTCTGTAGGGTGGTGTAATNTAATAAATATTTTAATTATTATATTATCTTTACCTAATAATGCTATATTTAATTTTTATTTTAAGTTTTCTTTCTAAAACTTTCTTTTCATAGTCTCAGTAGTATCACTGACCATATTTGGCTGTGAAACGTGGGCATAGCTTGCCGGACTGGCAAATAAAATACACCCATCGGGTTGTTTATACTATTGTAATTATTTTCTGTACTTTGTTTAGGTCCCAAACTTTACTTTATTTCAACGCCAACACAGTACGTTCATAGATTATATTCTTGAAGCATTTTGAGGTGTTCGAAAAATATTTCATCAGCATCCCCTAAAAGGATTCTGGCTGCAAAGCTCATATTTTATGCTTGGCAACTGGAGTTGTGAAGATTTAAAGGTAATTATATTTTTAACTTTATTAATTTGCTACAACAGAGCTTGACGACAATCGAAATTTATTTGCAGTGCGTTTTATAGCCGGGCTAGGGATAAAATTTGCGGCCATTGAAGCTGTAGTATTTATGCTCAGATATCCTTGTATTTTTACAACATAAAAATAACCTTTCCTTATGGATGTACTTTTTTCATGAAACTTTCAGATTATAAATATAACATAGATATGCATGCATTTGTCAAAGCACAGTCTCTAGTATTTGAAATACGCCTTTTACAAATGTGAGGATGAGAGGTACATTTATTATTGGTTTTCGGTGTTTTTAATCGATAACCAAATAACGGGGCAAATTATCTATAAACAGCATAAAATTTGGCATACATAGAGCTATTATTAATACACTCTTTGCTTTGCTCACAATTTTCGTTCATTTATGTAACGGTACTAAGCAATGCCAGCTTTAATAGTCACAAGACGATTTCGTCAAAATATTTATGCCGACTAGTGTATATATATATACCCTGAACCCTCCAAGCTGATATTCTAATTATTCTGCACTTCTTTTATGCACACACACATACACATGCATCCACACGTACGTATAAGCACGCGTTCTGCTAACTGCGCAGTAAGCAGCGACAGCGTTTGGGCTGCGCTGCAGTGTGGGTAATATTATGAGAATTTTTTTGTTGAAAAATTTCTTTTGTAGACGGACTATGTTAATGAAACTTTCAGACGTAATCATAATGTTTTCATAATGTGTATACCTTTCAAAGCACAAGTCTTTAATACTTAAAATACGTTTTTTTTTTTTAAATTGGGGCAAATGGGGCGTAGTATCCAAAATATGTAAATTACAAAATTTTTTTCATTAAATGTATATACACAGTAAATCTGAAGTATCCAGGTCTTTATACCTGGGAGTTGAAATTAAGCTGAACAAAACTAAATTTTTTGATTATTCTCTATAAAAAGTTATCGGGTGAGTTATAAAAAATATAATAAACTTGTAGTGTAGTATATGTTATAAATGCCAAATTTCAGCACACCAGCTTTTATATCTTCTGAGATCGACGCACTCATATGGACGGACGGACAGGGTTATATCAACTCAGTTCGTCGCCCTGACCAAGAATATATATTGTTTATGGGGTCTGTGATGACTCCTTCTGCCTGTTTCATACTTTTCACAAAACTATTATACCCCGATTTCCCATTTTCTATGGGTTCAGGGTATAAAAAGAAAAAGCTGTGATGGTGATGGTGCACGCACTTACCGTTGTTTGACTCAATATCAATGTCTGTGTCGTCCTGGCGAGCGCGCTTTTCATCTGAAATAAATTAAATTAGCAAAGCTATAAAACATATTTTTTGTATCAACTCACTTGCTATAAAATCGCTTGTCCGCGGCCTTATTTTACCCATAAATTTACTAATTTTATTGTCGTTATGGGGGTGTCGTTTTGCTTGAGGAAGAGGTCCCGGACAGCTTTCTTCTAAAACTTTCGAGCATAATCGATGTATATTCAATTTACAATCTGCAAAAAATAAAATTTACATCGTAATACTCAGCGAATAAAAAAATAAGTTATTAAGTTTACCTGTGCAATGATAACCTTGGGGACTAACACCCCATATGATTGTTTGGCAATGATTACAATGCGTCACTTCGTAGTATTGTCGTAATACTAACGGATGACCCCGTGCTATCATCTAGTCAAAATATATAGTAATGCTTATGAGAAATATGTTTCAGGATAGAAAGGGTTTGAAAGAGAATAATAGCAAATCGACCTCAATCATATCAAATATAAATGATCGAATGTGGCAGTATGTTTTTGGGTTCAATTTAACAAACCTTTCTATTTTTGCCCATTAATCGTGATTTAAAACTTTTTTCACGACTAACAAAATGATGAACACGATCCACTATAGTGTTTGGATGCGAGCGCGTTGTAAATATGCGATGAATAACCGTGGAAAGAGCAGAGCACAAAGCTAATTTTCGAGCATCTTCTTGAGGCAAATCCTTTTCAAACTCTTCACTGCAATAAGGTAAATTATACATTGTATGATCCAAAATAATAGTCATATCGCATGCTTACATTAACAATTGCAGATTAGGCATAAGATATTTATCAATAATTTGTTCCTTCTGCTTATCAGCCTTCGCTTCAGCGAGCTTATCATCGGTAGGTCCATATATTGTACCTAAGCCAGCCGTACGCTTTTGCTGAAATTCTCGCAACTGTTCGCTAATAAGATCCTTGGCGCGTTTTCGACTACGTAAGAACACAGTACTCAGTATTTCCACTTTGTCAAATTCTGATTGTAACACATTGTCCACTTCTCTAGCTAAAGACTCATCTTGCCGATACCACGAAAGCGGTGCACGCGGTACAAGAAAAGTTGAATGTATTTCATATGCCCATTTCCGCATGTCTTTGGAAGTACCTTCCTTATAAAGTTCAGTAATTAAGTAAAAAAGAAGTGGCGCTGGTTCGGAATTTGATAAAACATAGTTAAGGAAAACAGCTAGAAAAACTACATTTTCTGGCTCAAGTAGTCGAGTTAGGTTGTTGAATGGCCCATTCTCATCAATAAATGGTTCTTCTTGATCCGACGAGTTTTCATCTTCCATTGAAATAATTTTTTTCTGAGTATCAGTTGATTGGGCTGCGTGTAAACGGCTGGAAAGAAGAGCCTGCTGCGAAGGTGAAGTTGCCCCTGCCATAGGAGTAAAGTGATGCGATTCTATACAGATTCCTGCTCCTCCAGTACAGTTTTCATTGGACTCTTCAGGTACAGACATGTGTGAATTGGTTAAGTAAGGCGGCGGTGGAGTGCCTGGTGGTGTTATCTCATTATCTTTTTCCACAATTTCCCAAGAGCCAGAGATGGTTTTAACTAAGCGATCTGTCGAATATGATCAAAACAAAAAATGATTATGCAAGCGCCACGTTTGGTTTGCTTTTAAGCTTTCAGGTAAACAAAAAATAATTTTTCCTACAAAGAACTTAAAAATCGTTGACGGAAAGATAATACAAATATTCACAGTTATTTTGCTACAATAGAAAGTGTATTTTATTAGCCATTTAGCTTTCATAAGAAGATATTTAAGAATCGAGAGTGAAACTGCTCGAGCTGAGATCGGAAATTATACCATATATGAGATGAAGGTTTACATAAAACTATTAATAAATGTCTATAGAACTTATTATATCTACTTTGTGATTTGTACTAATCCATTAATTCAGATTAGTCATATGAAAAGACTTACCTGGGTGTCTTGGATGCATGTTGTCCGGTGATGATCCGACGCGTCGATGCTTCATTTGATTTAGCGGGGGTGTTTGCCCTAAGACCTATTAATTATTAGAAGTATTTTTAGTTATACTTTGAGCAAATAAGATTGGCCCAGCCGGGCATTCTCGACCGCATTATACTCATTCACGATTGAAAGCAGCTTAAATTTTTTGGTTAGGTGTCAGACATCTGTCCGCATTATGTTATCTGCCCTTGTTTTGAGTGTCTAGCAAGATATACATTGGCCGTCATCAGTACAACGCACTTTTTATTTTATCCGTTAATTTTTAATAATGTTTAATATTTTCTATATTACTATATATGTAATCCTAAAACTTGTCTATTAAGCTCTGTCTTAAAATAAACTAAAACTCGACTGTATCATTTCAGGAAAATTTTAAAACTTTATAGGATGCAAGTACGTTCAAATACATGTTTATTCAAGTCTTTACTTTAATTAGGAAAGAAATGGTTTACATTCTTATTGACGGATAGCAAGACGGATAACGAATAAAACTTTAATACTCTCTCAGTGGATGACTACCAAATTTTTATAAAGCAAAATGAATATGCTGCGTTGATCTACTATTATTTTATTTGATTACATCTAACAAACATATAATTTATTGTATGCAAACATACATATTTAAGAATTACACCACACCACATAACTTATTTGTAAATTACAAAAAAAAATAAATAAAAATAAAAATGTAAGATTGTTATAATTCTTCCTACTTCTTCCAGAATAGGTTAATAGAACTCAGTTTCTAACTGCAACTACAAAATGCCTATAGTAACACAGGGATCCACAATCGTGCCAATTATAAGGTATTTTAATATATTCTGCAATTTCATAAGATCCGTTACACTACCGTTCTGAAATACCTCCTGATGAGGGCATTGCCAGATCCTAACATTTTATAAGATGACCCTATTATCTTATAAAATGTTACTATTGATACAGAGTCGCTCAGCTAAATGAGTTATAAAAACAGCAAATTTCGGTCAAAATTGATACTGTTTTCAGTTCAATTGCAAGAATCATTTTGCGCAATTCAAAATGTTATTCTGATTTTTCATTCAGAGTTTTCTTTATTGAGGATAATTGCTAATTTTATAGCCTTTTTGAACTCTGGTAGATTGCAGCATTTGATTGATTCCGATCGCCTTCACTCGACTTTATTCACTTCATGAAAGTAAGAGTCCTCTAGTCGAGACTGCTCGTCTAGGAGATACCCTGAACCCTGCATAGAAATGATATTCCAATCATTCTGCACTTCTGGTATTCACACACATATAGAAACACATACACACAAACATCCACACACACGCGCTTTGCTAACTGCGCAGTAAGCAGAGACTACGCTTGGGCTGCATTATGAGAATTTATTTCTAGAATAGTCGGCCTATCTTCATGAAACTTTCAGAACGTAATCATAATGTTCAAATCTGTGTATATGCCAGACCACAAATGTCTGGTAGTTTTTTTCGAATGGGGGCGAAGGTGGAGTTGTTTCTAAACTCTGAAAATAAAATAATCTTCTATATAATCTATATACACAGTGCATCTGAAGGCTCTTGGTCTAATAGTATTTAAGTTGCGCTTGAAAACGCACGGACAGACGGACGTTACTCAGCTCGTCGCCCTTATCAAGAATATATATAATTTATGGGGTCTGCCACATTTTCACAAAGGCAGTATACCCAGTTTTACCATTTTCAATGGGTTCAGTGTATAAAATTTCAAACCTCTAGCTCTTATATCTTCTGAGATCAAAATTCTACAGATATAACTTAATACCCAATTTTCGATAGGATTTTAATTGTTTTTTTTTTTTTAGAAACACTCGATATGCGGATGATATACACAGATCTAGGAAAAACAGACAGCAGGACAGGGCTAAATCGACTCAGCTCGTCGTCCTGATCAGGAATATACTTTATGGACTGTTACATACTTAAAAAAAAAACACACATTATACCCTGATTTTCAATTGTTCAATGTGTTCACGCTATAAAAATATAATAAAGTATATTACAATATAAAATATTTATATTTATGTATAGATTTTATTTTTACTTTTTAATAATTATGGTCTTAAAGATTTTTAAACACAAAAAATAAAAAAAAAAACAATTTTTTTTTAATTTTATGTAAGAGTTTGTATTATAAAGTGCAGCTATGTTATTTAAAATTTAAAAGCAGACATGATTTTGACCAAAGAATGCGTTAGAAAATAATTAAGTAAATTAACACTTGTTTAAGCAAACATTAACAAAGAAATGAAAATATTCAATTATGATCAGGGGCATAAATATAATGGGATAGAATAACAATTAAAAATACAATAAAAATACAATACAAAAATAGAAGCGGAATATTTATAGATATGATCTCCATGTACTTACTGCAGTTGACAGACAGCCGAGTGGCTGTTGTTGGGCTTGTTGTAATTTTTGAACAATGTTTGGGCGTTGCGATAGTGGAAAAGCAACCTTTATATTGTCGCCTTGAACTGCAGTACAGGTTGAAACCAGTGGATAATTGTAACCAGCACTTATAGAATTTGGTTGTGCAAGGCTCTGACAGCTACCACGATTTATCTCTTCCGACAGCATTCCCGGCTGCCGTGGAGGCAGTGGAGGTGGACAAGAGTCTACTTCAAGTTTTTTACTAGTACCCACATCTTCTGTTGCCATCGGCCCATTATTAGTTTCCATTTGTAAAAACATTTGCGTAGTCATTTTTGGGTCCGATAAAGCTTTAGCTTTAATCTTAGATCGCTTTGACTTTGTACTATTGTTATTGTTATTAAATAAATGACCACTGCCATCATTATTACTGGCTATAAACTTCGGTGATGTTCGTTGCGGACTGCCAGCACGGTCCAAATCAGAAATTGGAGAAAACTGGTGAATACTATTTGGAGTACCCAAATCTAAAGCAAGCTGCCTTGTTGGATTTCTTTGTGGTAGAGGCGGTGGTATGTCTTCCTCAATCAAACTCTTAGATATTGTAAAAACATTTTTACCTTTTGGTCCCGAACTTAATTTCAAAGTTTCTTTAGACCTTTGCTGTAGCTGATTAACGCATTGCTGTTGCAAATTTCTCTGAGTATTTTGTTGAGGGCTTAGCATATTTGCTTTTATATGGTGGTAAAGAGACTGCGACATTGGATTAAAAGCTTCTTGACCTCGTAGCTGAGGTAAAACGTCCGTTGTATTGTTTAGTGTTGAGGTTAACAAATCTTTGTCAGTTTTATTCTTTCGCGTACCCAAAGAAAGGGACGAAAGTGAACGTGGCAGTAGCGATAGGAATGCGGGTGAAGTGTGTTGGGTTGTTTGCGACTGTTGTGTGCTAACCTGTTGCTGATGATGATTGTTGTTGTGAAGATTGTGATGAGGAGTGGCGACAGACAAATTTTGAATTTGATTGTGCATTAGTATATCAGTATTTTTCTCGCCTGCTTGACACTTAATATTTGGCGTATCCTGAAGTTAATGATTTGCAGTTGTTAAATAGTTCAAACATTTTTTTATAAATAGTTTTTATACAACAAATGCATGTTTATATAAATGTACACATATACATAAAGCCGTGCCAGTGAATATGCATAAATGATTGATTTAAATTTTATTCTTAGGTGTATGAGATTTTCGCATAAAAACTATTTAGATTTATTATGAAATTATAGCACTATTTTAGGAACTAACCACAATAATAGGTATTGCATTATATTATAACAGCTTTTACAACACATTTGTACGTTTTTAGATTCGAGATAAATATAAAGGTAAATAATAATACACGTTAGAGCTGGTTTCTAATTATATATATAAATGCAGTGTTTATCATATTTACAACCTACCCAGCAGCCTAAGCTTCGAAACAATTTTAACAACATTTTATGGTTTTTCAAAAATAAATTACTGTACTTTGTTGACAGAAGCATGTTCAGTAGAATTTAACGAAATTTGTGTTCTATTAATAGAAAAAGAAGAAAGAACCGTTATCTTTTGCTGTGTTCTCGCATCTTTACTTGCATTTTTGTGTATCATAAATATAGCCCACAGTAGCAAATTTAACTTTTTTAAGAGCTGAACAGATTTGTGGATTTACAGACATTGAAATGAAGTAAATTTAGATAATTTTAAAGAAATGCCACTTGGAAAACAATTAGCTCATTATGAAAAAGGTCGTATTTTCTCACGTTTCGAGTCAGGAGAGTCTATTTCGAGTACTTCACGAAACTTGAAAAGAAGTCGACGTGTAATTAAATATTTTTTCGAAAACCCCGAAGATTATTACTAACCGCGCAATAAACGCAAAATTAGCAACAAAGCCAGCAACAGCTCAACCTTGTAGACCTTAGGCGGATCTGTGGCAGCTATGACTGTTAGGTGAGTTCTTAAGAAGTCAGGAATCATAAAGAGATCTAAACTTACCAAAGCACCCGTGTTGCTAAGTCGCCACAAAGTTGGTTTTTAATCATAATTCAAATATTGAATTACTCATTTTTCAAGATTTTTAGGGAATTTTTCATTTGGGAAAAATTTTCAGCCAATTGTTTAAGTGGGTCATAAATATGATAAACACTGTAGTATAGAATTTTCCGCACTATTCAAAACTTGTATCTTACGTAATTACGATATTTATGTTACTATGAAAGTATTGTTTATTTCAGACGATCGAAAAAAATACGTAACTATATAATATATAGAACATACGTATAAAACCAATTATGCATATATGTACACTAATACGAACAAGAACTTTAAAAACAAAATATATTTACTCACCTCTGCTCCGACTTGATGTAATTGTTCGCGCAGTTTTCGTATGTTTGCCTCCGACAGTTTATAGCTGGGATTATTTGTATCACCTTTAAGGCGATCCAAATTTAATTTTTCCTGCTCTAACATCTTTTGTAATGTTTGAATCTTATATGTTTCCATTTCCCGTCGCTTTATGCTCTGCAATTAATTAATGTTCAATACAAATATTCGAATTTTATGATTCATATTCGTCTAATTACGTACGTCAACAGGCTGTGGACCTGTAATTGAGGCAGTGCGATCCCGTCCTGATAGTACTGGTGTAGTTGGAACAATACCCACAGAGCTGGGCCTAGAAGACTTTTGGCTGCGTTTTACAGCCAGTTCAACGATTGTAGAAGCTTCAAAACGAAAAATTTTAAAAGTTGGGAATTAAAGAATTAAATCAAAATATTTTATCATGTCATGTTTTATTTTGAAAAGGAACAAGCTTCCTCAAGATTTGTCAATATATTAGACAATAGTTCCTGTAGTGATATGGAACACCAAATAATACATTCAGGCTATTTTTAAAGGAGAAGTAGTAGGCCAACAAATTTGTTCTCAAAGAAATAATAGGTTTTATTAGAAAAATAAAATATTTAAAATTTGTTGTTTTCAATGAAAAATATTTAGCAATATACGCAATTATGATGATAATTATAAAATTGGCTCTTGTTGCTGGAACAGTTTGGTTAACCAAAGAAATAGGTGTTTGGGATAATCCTGATACTACAGCTGCCATATATGAGGATATTAAATGTCAACTAAATCCTTACGTGGATGATTTAAAGCAAAAGTACGGCTCTAAGTATTGTAAGACAAGCGAGAAGAACACAATGTTATGGCGTGAATCATTTGTCGAAGTCTGGAATGCCACTATAAAAGAAGGATTTCTAGTGGTCAACAGATTTCCAAAATATTGTCATCGGTTTACAGATGATGTAAATGAGACTATCAATCAGTTATTCAACGGAAAACCACGCGAGTAGGCGATTCTCAAACTGGCAAATTTAAATTAAGTTAAAAATTATGTCTTTCTCATAATACATCTTAAAATTCAACTAACATGACTTATTCAAATACATGACCATTATGATATATACATTTCTAAAACGTTTGGGATTTCTTACAGGAATTTTTACCACGCATATTGGAGTTTGGGCGGAGGTGGCATATAAATTAGCTGAGCCTATAACAGGAAGTTCACAAAAAAAGACAAATAGCTCAAACATTAGATTTGAAAATGAAACACTAGTCAGCGCTTATGATAACTGCTTTGTTTCCCAAAGACAATATAATAACGCAATTAGACGAGGCATTTTCTTTTGTTGTCGCATGCCCGACTGGTCGACTCGATTTGTCATGCATATAAAAAACATATTGACCGAAAATATACCTAAAAGAATCACCAATCGATTAACGGAATCTTGGCTTCTCCCGGAATATAGTAATAAAGTGCTAATATTGATGTTGAACGTAGCCCTGCAGTATATACATTGGTCAACATAATATCGAGTCAGCCTCTGAAGCTCCCAAAGATCAAGGATTACCTGTGGCAAACGTGGATTTTCTTAGGCGGCTGAATATTATAGTATTCTGTCAAAATTGAAAGTATATACACCTATCAGGTCAATCATCTTTGGCATTAAAATTTTTATTTTATTCTCAAACAAAATGATTTTAGATCTTGCTTTGCGCACGGGAATCGTAGTTGCTGTAATTATGGCCACAAAACGCTATAATATTTGGGATTCATCGGATGAAACGCAAGAGGTTTATAATTCAACAATCAGGTGGATCAGTCCGTATGCCAAACAAACTTGTGATTATCTAAACATACAATTACCATCACTACCACCTCAAAGAGAAAAATCCTTTCTTGGTGTTTACTATTATAATCAAACAGTTAAGACGTTAGTTGACTTACTTAACATGTTTCCTACGTACATATATGGTATCTTAGAACGGATACCTAGCGTGACAAACGATATAGCAAGCTGCATTCGAGAACAATACCATAAGCATCAAACAGAAAGTGAGAAAAAGAAAGCATTAGAAAAAGAAAAGAATGAACGAAAAATTCGAATTGACGAAAGGGCACTTGTGCAGACTATTGAACCACACCCAGATGTGGACTCTAAATGTCAAACAAAAAATCATACGGATCATAAAGATACACCCCTAACCTCTTCTATTAAAGAAATTTGTCCAAGAAATAAACCTAGAGATCACGCTACTACTTTTAGAAAAAAAACTTGCCCAAAAACTGCGATTGATCCCCCTTGTGATCAACAAAATCAAAAGAACTGCAACGAATTGGATAAACAGTGCAAGTGCAAACCGCAACACTAAGTATGTATTCCTCAAAATTTATTTATTAAATCTACCTCATAAGTGCAAGCATTATTGCAGCATACTAGCCGAACCAAGTAAGGTCGAAACAGAGATTTCCAAAAAAACGGAATCCTAGTGACTGATTCAATTCACATCAAAAGAACTTGCATAACCCTATCGCAGAGCAGGGATAAGAGAGTCTAACAAGAGAGTCGACCCTAACTATAGAACAAATTATAATTAAGCTATATACACACCTTTGATATAGCTAACAACAGTCGGGTGTTTCTCTTGTCGTACTTCTTGTCCATTTACCTAAAAGATAAAATAGAAGAAACATTTCAAAATTTTGTAAGAAAATACATTTTATATAATAGTACGAGTACAAGCCTTTAAAATCATATCTCCTGCCACTAAACCAGCAATTTGTGCAGCTCCACCTGGCTTTACACTTTCCACAAAAACAGGATTGTCGCCAGACACCTACAAAAATATATTATTAATATARTATATGGAATATGACTTGACTTACTTTCATTCCATATCCATTATCATCTTTTCGTACAGTCAGAGTTAAATACTGAAAATTTTTGGGTGAAGCTGGGCTTGGAGTGGCCGGTTTCTGCACTTGATTGATTGGAGATAATTGTATATGGGAACGCGAACCCGATGTACAGGGATAATCTTGGGCAATTCCCAAATTAGTGCCACAGTCTCCATCAGTTACAAGGGCACAACTATCCATTAGATTGCTGTCGCTGTTGGAAGATCCTTTGCAGTCAAGATCAGGAACCGCAAGAATAGTCCCCGAAGGTGCACTTGCAACACCTTTTTTTTCTACACCATTCATAAGTTTCGCTTTATTTTTATTCGGCTTTTGATAACTGGTTGGCAAGGGAGGCGTTTGAGGTGGAACACTAGTATTGTTGTTATTAATACCACTAATACTGCTCGCTAAATTGCTGAAGCTGCTTGCCAGAGACGGAGATCGCGGTATTTTTGATTTATTCGCAGATTTCTGTTTCTGTTTGTTCTTTGAATTTTTTACAGATTTTTGCTTTGGCGGTGGAAGTACTTTTGACGAGTCCTCAGCTGTGCCTCCAGCACCGGCAACCGTGCTTGTGCCAGGGTTGTCGTCAATGTTTTGTGACTGCGATGTTGACTGTAGCAGCTGATCGTTCGATTCTTTTGGTAGATCTTGCACTTCATCGTAATCATGGTCATCAGTACTAAAATCAATCAACCTTGAAAATTAATATTACGACAGTGTTAACGCAAAATAAAAACAAGTAAGAACGTTGCAATCGGGCGATACCGATAGCAGAAGACTCATTCACAGCCCAAACGCTGTCAACCAGAGTATATAGTGCAATTTTCAAGTCTAGTGCGCAGCAAAAAACACGGCATGATGCCATTAAAATTGGAAAATCATCGATAGCTATTGCATTCAAATTACATACATATATAATTTTTTCACCTATCTTCATAGAATTAAAACATCAGCTTACATGCAAAATTTCAGCATTCTAGTTTTATAACTTTAGGAGATACAGTTTTATCTGATTTGCCACGCCCCTAATGGGCGGAGATATATCTTGGGTGATCGGCGTGGACCTACATACCAAAGTTCAGCTTTCTAGCTCTTCAACAAACATGATTTCTGGTATATCGGAAAATGAATTTTCGGATTTGCCACGCCCCTAGTGGGCGGATCGGGAAAATTTTAACACTTTATAGATCGGAGATATAAACGAATATGTGTTCCAAATTTCAAGTCTCTAGCTTCAATAGTGCCGAAATAGATTGCGTTCATACGGACAGACAGACATTGCACAAAACCAATATACTCATTTCACTTTCGTGAATGAGTCTAAAATCGTGTGCAATATACTAGAATGCAGTTATAATATAATATAATAATATAGCGACGAAAATTCTGGTCCCCAGACAAACTTTTAGAAGCAACCTTATACGGGTATAACGACGGTCTCTTGAGTATCGTTAGAATCGGATTCTACTGTACTTTTATACATACATATTTGGATATATGTAATACTTGTTCAGTTTCATAAAACATTTCATTTCATAAACACATTGCAGTGCGTCTGATCGCTCTTTAAATCTCATTGAACAATTCACTAAAAAACGTCATCGCAGAGTCACAAAATCAAAACACTTATACTGCTGTTAAACAGAAACCAATACTAAATCGATATTTGCTGATGGTTATTTTACTAAGACTGGTAGTTTTTAATGTGTTGAATAGGCATAGGCAGACCTAGCAAATAAATTATGCCGTAACAAATGCCATTGCCAAAGCCACGAGATCAACTCAACAAAATGACCACTGTTTGACCTTTTTAATTGAGCATAAATTAAAATAGCCATATAATAGATACAATTTAATTTCTGTACTTGTTTGTTGCGAAAAATTAGTTCTAATACGTATGAGCTTAAATAAAAGGTAAAACATCACTCGTTTATGCTTATATCAATCAATAATTAATAACTAACGAACTAATATGAATAATAATTATTTATTTGAATATTGATTTTTCTAAATCCACATMATTATTCTTGCATGAAAAACAATATTAGGCTGGTAAAAATAAAGCTTACCTTTTCTTGATTGATGGGTCATCCATAGATAGGTTCTTTTTGAAATTTGCAAATATTTCAACGTATTGTGATATATACTTCTAACACGCAACGAGTCCGTATTTGTAAAAGTATATTATTGTTTATTTTCTAATTTCCAATAACAACATCAAAAGTGGTTCTGAATCATAGTAGTTCTGCATTAAAAATTTAATTTATTATCATGAATTAGCTATTACAATATTAACTATTTTAGATACAGACACATACTAAATGTTTTATTTGTACAAACTAAAAATTTTCGAATCAAGAATTCAAGTGTAATAGCATACGCGAATCTAATCATGGATTGCAAAATGATAAAAATAAGATATAACAAGTAAGAAAGCTCTAGTCGAGACTGCCCGACTACGACACAATTTTGAAAAAAATCGAAATTCTATAAAGTACATATGAATCTATATTTAAAATTTGGCGACTCTAGCTAGGTTGTCGTTAGTGTTTTTAATCGATAACAAATTTACGGGGGAAGTTATCGACTTTTAAAGCAAAACTCAATATGCGCGTGGTATATACGGAGGTTGGCAACAAAATTTCAAGTCTCTAGGTCTTAAGTCTTCTGACATCGACGCGTTCAAGCATACGGACAGACGAACGGACAGTGCTAAATCGACTCAGCTCGTCGCCCTGATCAAGAATATATATTCAACAAAACCATTATACCCTGATTTCCCATTTTCAATGGGCTTAGGGTATAACAAGAAAGCTCTAGTCGAGACTGCCCGACTGCGAGATACACACACACACACAAACACACGCACATACACGCATACACGCATACACACACACACATACATACATACGCACCCATGCATAAACACGCATTGACTGCAGTGTGCGCTTACTATGAGAACTTAATTGTTCAATAACTTTTTTTGTGGACATACGATCTTATAAAGGTGGGGGTAAATTTTGACAAAAATCGAAGTTCTATAAAGTACATATGAATCTACATAAAAATTTGGTGACTCTAGCCTTAAAGATGTAGCAGATAAAAATTTGTTACTGGTTTTCGATGTTTTTAATCGATAACAAAATAACGGGGCAAGTTATCGATTTTTAAAGCAAAACTCGATATCCGCGTGGACCTAGGAAACAAAATTTCAAGTCTCTAGTTTTTTTATCTTCTGAAATCGACGCGTTAAAACATACTGACAGAGGGACAGACGGACGGACGGACAGACAGACAGACGGACAGGGCTAAATCAACTCAGCTCGTCGCCCTAATCAAGAATATATATACTTTGTCGCGACTGAAAATATCATAAATAACAGCAGGCAAAATATATTTACATAGACAATGTATTTTAATACCGCTCAATAGCAAAAGTAATTACAAGTAAGAAAGCTCTAGTCGAGACTGCCCGACTACAAGATCCCCTGAACCCTTCGAGCAACTGATATTTCAATAATTATTCGCATATGCACACATACACGCACACACACAGACATACGTACGCACGCATAGGAACTTAATTGCTTAATAACTTTTCTTCTGGATGGACTATCTTCATGAAACTTTGAGATTATGAATATAACATAGATATGCATGTATTTGCACAAGCACAAGTCCCTAGTATTTTAAATACGCCTTTTACAAATGTGAAGGTGAGGGGGTGAAAAATTTGGGGACTCTAGCTTTAAAGATGTAGGAAATATAAATTTATTACTGGTTTTCGATAATGTTTTTAATCGATAACAAAATAGCGGGGCAAGTTATCGATATTTAAAACAAAACTCTATATGCGCGTACTATACACGGATCTAGAAAAAAAATTTTAAGTCTCTAACTCTTATATCTTCTGAGATTGACGCATTCAAACATACGGACAGACGGACAGAGCTAAATCGACTCACCTCGTCGCCTTGATCAAGAATACATATACTTTATGGGGTCTGCCACGCCTCCCTCTGCCTGTTATATACATTTAACAAAACCATTATACCCTGATTTCCCATTGAAAATGGGTTCAGGGTATAAAAATATTTAAATTGAAGATGCCCTATCGTTTAATTATTATTTATACATAATTTTATTAAATATTACATGCGTTTAGACAGTATAAAAGGATTAAAGAAAATAAATATCTTCTATGCTGGAGCCTTAAGTAAAATTGATACAAAAACCATCGATCAGCATATTTAATACGCTCTAGCATCCAACAAGTGGCTTTGGCAGCCATATTGTTTTGCTCTGTAGTGTTGCTGAGTCCAGAGGTGCGGGCGTGACGAATATTTTAACCCGGGATAAAAGAACAACAAATTAATATTGGCAACACAATAAACTGAGGGAGTCTATTAAACTCTTCGAACAATTTGTTAACCGTGTTCATACTTTTGCATACAATAATATACGATAAATAAGTTTAAGATTCATTTTGCATGAACATACACATATACGCATATCGTCACGAATACAAGCAATAAAAAAGCCCGACACGAACGCACCTCTGGTTGGATCATCACACTCACCAAGTAAATATGTATACACATATAAATATATTAACTCATATTATGTACACTACCACACACACACTCGTCTGTTGCCTCTTTTACAGGGCTCGGCTCATTATCTAGCGCACTGCGCATCAATATTTTAACGCGTTCAGAAATAGACGATTTAATATCTGTTTTCTAATAAAGTCACAAATTTATATAAATAACTTATGTTTAGCATTACGTTTTAAATATTGTGTTAAAAAAAAGTGCTGAATTGGTTCTTCCTTTTGTCACACCAAACTATACGCAATAAATGCTAAATTGATACTATGTTATACTCAGAATGGACTCTGTTAATAGAGGTGACGATATATCGGGAAAAGAAATACATCGCAAGAGTTTCCGATAGTCATTTCTAATTCGTATGTTAAGATTTTTTATATGGGCACATTGATTGCTATAAACTCCATATATAGAATGGGGCAGCGTGACCGAATATGGTATTTTAAATACTTTTTGGTATTTTATCAGCTCTAATTTTGCTCAAAAGTATTTTAATGGTATATAGGTATTTAGTAGCTTTTTTCTTAGATTTTATGGTATTATATGGTATTTTCGGCTTGGTCACACTTTAAGACTTAATGAATCGAATGCTTAATGCTTAAGACTTGCTTAATTTTAAATGAAATAAACAACAAACATTTTTTGCAATATTCACATTTTTTCTATATATAATAAGTCAGTTATTACTTTTACATATAATTTGAATTTCCAGACGATTTATTTGTTATGGTATTTATAGTGGTATTTTGTAAAATATGAAATAGTATTTTATAGTATATTTTTGAGACCAAATTGGTATTTTTCGTTTGGTCCGGCGCGGTCACGCTGAAATGGGGGCTCTCACTGTTGGGGAAATCACTATTGTTAGAGCAGTCCGTGCTGTTATCGTTAGTCTAGCCGTGTCCGTTCGTCTGTCTGACCATATATGTATAATGACGATTATTTGCACAGTATTAACAAATGTGTTTTATATAACAAAAAATTATTCAAACAGAATAGGATATTTTTTAAACCTAATTTGTTTTTGTTTCTCAAAATTTTTAAAAATTCCTTCGTCCATGCAAATGCATACATTCTAGTTATTCTAAGCGCATTGTACACTTCCTTATTTTCTAGATGGAGGAACTAATTGAGTTCCGCCTTTTTAAAAATCTAAAATGTTATTTGATTCTGTGGTTAGCTTTGAATTCTGCAAATGCTTCCCATAAAGAGGGTTAAATCTTCCGATTTTCTCTGGGCGATGTATTTTCGCATTCCTCATTAATCATGGTAATTTAAGTGCTAGTAATTTTCATTTTATATACTGGCGATGACAACACAGCGGAGATAACGACCATAAGGGGCATTTCAAATCTTTTATGAGCTAGAATTACCCAATTTTGCACGTGAGTTATTGTTTCGATCCCAGAAAAATCGATACAAAAGTCTGATTATAGTCAGATCTGATTATAGTCAAAGTACTCAGCCCTATCTTGCATTAATAATCTGTAGACCACTTTAATGAACTAATTATGTATTTTATAAAATATAATTTTATTTCTTTTTTAATATTTCCATGTGTTTACAAATATGTACAACATTAAACAGTAATCTTATTTATAATCTTAGATATTTTGTTATAGTTTCAAAAAATATATACATATGTACATTTTAACCTAAGCATTATAATCACAGTAGCTTTGATTTTTAATTATAGAAAAGGCTACTTTCTATAATTAAAAAATTACAGCCTATTAGAATAATACATTCAACTATTAGTACATAAGCATATATAATAGTAATACATAATATAAAAATAATCCTATCATTGCGTATCGACATATGTTTTCTGTGCGCAAAAGTGTTGCGCACACTTGGCGTCAAATCACATTAGATGGATCGTATACTTGTGTATTTTTTTCAGATATAAAACAATTCGAATTCAAATTAGAATTTCCTACAACATCGATACCATTATTACCATCAGCGATACACGGTAAATGCATTACACCCTGATAACTACTAAACTCAAGATCAACATCACGTACTAATCCTGTACTCGAGAACTTTGGTTTATACTCACTTAAAAACTCCAATATCTTTAGGTGATAAAATACTCCTTCGTTATCTATAGCATAAAACTGAGTAAAATCAACATTAGCACAGAAAGACAACCCTTTGTTTCCTACAAATGTGATACACGCTAGCAATGCTGGAAACTTAGCGTGTCCCCTTTTCCCTCTCCAAGGATATGCTCTGTTTTGTTCAGCTTCCAGGTGCTTATTAATACTTTTTAAAGAATTTGACACAGTCAACGGTTCTTTGAGATCTTTAGGTACGCCTGACCATGGGGACGCATCGACTTCCTCGCGACCTTTTGGCAGAAACTGGGAGTGATGCAGATCCCGATTATATCGCCTGCTCCGACATTTGGCAGTCATTCGATTACTAAGAATATAGTTCACGTCCCAGAAACATAATCGTTCTGCGCAACTAACAAGAATCTGTTTGCATGGTGAGAAGAGCATCTTAATTGATTGACAGGGCTCATGTCCTTGTGATATGGTAAAAATAAATTCCAAACGATGGTTATCATATA